CTTTTTCTTAAAGTGCATGGTCATTCTTCGATCGCTACGAGCGTCAACCAAGCGTTAAAAAATGAGGTAAACTCAAAAGAGTAGCAGAGAAACACGAATCCTGTCTTCTCGCCAAAAGGCAAAAGGAGCGCGTGAATTTTTCAGCAAACGAAAGAAAGAAAGAGCAAGTACATTAGGGACAAGGATTGCTGCGATGTTATCTTCTTTGATAGATGCATGCGCATATTTATTTTATGTAAGGCCACCGGATCTTGTATTTTCTCTAAAGCTCGATCTGACAGTCTCTGATGTATCTGGCGACAAAACATTTAGCGTGAGCCACCATCCACCGCCTTAGCATGCGCTCGGCCAACGTTTATGACGATTTCAGGAGGAGTGAGCAGGACGGGGCAAGTACCAAGCATCGTATTATGAACCCACAACAAATGAGATTACAACATTAGCACAAAGTGCGCCCCCTCCCCCCCCCCCCCCCCCCCCCCCCCGAAAAAAAAAATATTGCAGGTTTATTTTTTAGTGCACAAATAAACATACGCATTGCCGAACGCTCACTCTCGGCTCAAATGTACCGCTTGCGGTTCGACCCGGAAGCCGAAGTTTCACAACTATGCATTATCTTATTCGAAAGTTATGGTACCCTAGTTATACGAACGCACTCAACGATCGTTGCACCAACGATCGTTGGCATCTCTCAACTGTCATTCAGCTCAACGTTGTTATCGAGTGTTACACGGCACATAGGCCTACGAAACCGAAACGAAATTAAAACTAATGTCGCATTACCTTTTTAAAAAAAAAAAAAAAAAAAATCTGATGCCAACTAATTATGCGCGCACTTTTTATTCGTTATAAACGTTTAGCTCATAATATAATGAACTTCTTTTTTTTATTTTAGAGTACAGAAACGATAATAAGAACGTTTCGCACAAATTCAAGTAAGAGAGACGTAACGGAAGTTTTATCGGCACCGACATCACAATGGCCGCGCTCGCCGAACGTGGCCTTCCACGACGTGCCGTGATCGCTTTAGCGGCAGCTATGGCCCCTGTTCGGACAACACTTGCCGCTACGATACTTTCTAGACACCTCCCCCAATCTTCCGCAATAGTAGGTGCTTCGCTGGCGCTGGGCCATCGGCGGCAATGCGACGGTCGCCGCCATCTTATCAGTTACAATGATCGTTAGCGGCTCAATGGCAATTGGTGCCGCCGTGTAACTCCAACCGATCGCGATTGAGTCAACTGTCGTTTCCTTAACGAGAGTTGGGTTTGATGGTGTAACTAGAGTATTTGTTATTTTCTGAAATTTTCAACGAGATGGCGGCGGACGAGGCTCTGGAATACGTGGAGCTGAATTCCGCCTGTTGGCGAAAACGGGCCCGTCTTTACCAATTCAAATTGCCAGAAGATTACCGATAACTTTTGAATAAGATAACGGTTAGTTCTGAAACTTTGTCATTTGCTTCAGACCGTTAGCGCTATATTCGGGCAGAGAATGAGCCTTCGGCGATGCGTAGTTTATTTTTATAGCGAGAAAAACACCGTACAATTTATTTCGGGACACTCTGTAGATAAAAAACGTCGACGAACGAATCGTGACTCAAGAGCCGTGAAGGTAATAAGCCAAATACTGTTTCTTTTTTTGTATAGTGCTTATAATTTGGTCGGAACGTCCGCGATTTCGGTTTCCTCAGAAAAAAAAAAAAAGTGGAAATGTGCCGTGATTTTGTAAACATTGAAACGGCGTGTACTACATGTGGGTTGAAACGGAGCAAGGGCAGGAAGCGATGGCGCGCGGGAACTTCAATCTCAGGCGTTCGGCAAGCGAACGCTTTCGAACGCGTTCGTCCAATGAGTAAAGACAAATGTAGCTAGCTTTGCCCGTACCCACTAATCACTCCAACAAGAGCTCGATGCTCATCTTCGCCCTTCAGCCCGTATATCCTCTCGACAGCGCAAATCTTCGTTCACACGCCCGCGCACCGGCACCGAAACCGGCGCAAAAACTGACCCCTGAACGCCAAAAAAAGAAAAAAAGACTATTTCACGTACGATCCACGATTTCTCGCGTTTCTCCTATACTAGTTGTCACCAGCTTCTGACAAGAAAACCTCTTCGTGTCTTCTCACACACACCGGTACGCCCGCCTCCTGGAGATAAGAACGCAGCGACACTCCGTTTCGTCTTACGCGCTAGAGCGCAGAGGACGCCACGAGCCACATCTCTTCCAATACTGCGCCACGAAGCTTATCACGTGACTAAAGCGCCCCTCCCGAAGGTAAAGCTGCACTGCTCCTACATCATACGAAACACACGGCGTTCGCTGAAGACACCACAACAGAATTATCTGAGGGACACGCCCCAAACACTGTTGCTTCGAAATGCGCGCTCTTCATGACTGTCTTTCGTATGATGTATTGGGAGAGTGACTGCGACTCAATGCGACTCAACGCGACTCAATGCGACTCAACGCGACTGGACTGGCTTCCGGTGATTCGTAGCCTTCGCCGCGGTCCATCGTGAGGTTCAAGCCCCCGACGTCGAACGCAGTACTAAACGACGGAGCCTAGCGCGCGGACACCGCAAACACGCCAACTGACGAAGACCCTCAACGCGCGCTACAAGCCCCGAAGCCCGAGCCATCGGTGGCTTTTCTTGGTCGTTTTTGCTTCGCCGCACTCGTTCGAACCTCTACCTGGTGCTCGTATCCCTCCCCAAGCCCTCCCTCCCCATAGCCCGGCCGTTGTTATTTTCTCAGCGTCTTATCGTTTATGTACTTGCTGCCTCTGCGTCACTCGCGTCTCTCTCTTCTACGAGCTGACCAACGTCTATAAGGGCTCCGTCGTAATGCTCGTTTTTTTGTTGCTTTTACGTTTATATATATATATATTTTTTTTTTTGTATACTGGTGGTCGTTCTTTTTTGTTTTGCTCCGAGTTGAGTTTGTGGCTCGTTCGCCGTCGGTTGGCAGCTGGCTTCGATGGTCGCCGGAGATTTGAGTGGTGGCTCGCTCTCTTTTCTTTTCCAGTTTTGTTTTCTTATTTTGTTTCCTTCGGGGTGAGCTGGGAATGATGAGGTTCGGTATTGGCCGGACGGTGGGCCGGCCAGTTGCGCGGAGACCGCCGGGGCGCTGATGGAAATAAAACGAAGCTGCTTTTCGCAGTGGAGAGAGAGAGAGGGGGGGGGGGGGTGGACTTTCTTTTGCCCCCTTCCCCTTTTTTTTATTGTTTTTATCTGTAGGGAAAATGCGACGATGGTGGTGGCGTTTCGCGCTAAAGGCCCTGTTGAGCTTCGTTTTTCTCTCTTTAGATTCGATCATAACTAAATGCCAATTAGGTGTCCTTTCATTTCATGCAGATACAGGGCCGCGCTCTGTATATACGAAAATAAATAACAAAAGGGAAGTTCGGGGACTGGTGGCTATATTTTTTTTCTCTCTTTTACTTCGCCTCACAAAGAAAAAAAAGAAACAAAAAACAGCTAGATAAAAAAAAAAAAAAAAGAAAATAACGGGCAGGCACGCACATGGTTTCAAGTTTTCGATTTAATACGGATTTGAGTCGATTTTAGACGGTATGTGTGTTCTTGTCCGTTTCTTCATCTCTTCCCAATCTCGTTTTTTTATGTTTCTCTATTATGGAGTTTGTTCTCCAGCTAGTCTGCTTTGTTTTATTATTATCACTTCCATCGTTACTGTGCTTGTCTATTTTACAGTCAAATACGGTGCAGCGCACCCCATATAAAAAGAATTATTTCCTTTTTTTTTTGCTTTTATGGGTGCGTCCAATTTGTGTACCCAACCATTGCAGTGCTTGTCAACCGGGCGAAAATTCTGAGTCACTGGGAAATGCATGGATGCACACCCGGCGTCTGATATTGTCGCGGATAGAATCGTAGGTTTACCCGGAATCCAAAAAGGTGCCGCGCGTCCCGCTCCTGAGACGGAAGGACGACTCTCTCGAAGCAGCGCGTTACAGCTGCTTTTATGCAGGTGATACGTTCGGGAAGCTTCCCAGCTAGAACACACGATGACAGCCGAGTACAGGCTAGGACTTTCCACAAGGTGAAATACTGATAAATGTAAGAACCAGGCGAGCGACGTTCCAAGTCGTTCGTCCGCCTGGTAGCCGCATGCGTTGCCTACTCCGCCGTGCACGCAGCAATGTTCCGTGCGAGAGATCTACTACGCGTGCGCAGAACGCTTTCTATGGCCCTGTGGAGAAAGATCGCAGCGTTCAGCAAGTGATTATTAAAATGGTCGGTACGTTTTTGTTCTTTATTTGTGCGTGTGTGTGTTTTCGCAGACGAATCGGTTTAATATTTGATGCCGGTTCACGGTTTATTTTTCGCTTTTTAGACTTTGATTTTGCCTATTTAATCTCGGGATATCGGCAATCTCCAATATGCCCACCATCCTCGTACTTCGCCTGCTCCCACGGCTCGCCATCACCAGCAACAGTGAAAATTAGTTCAGACATGTACTTGACTCGGGAACAAAAGG